CCCCAAGACAAGGAATGGGGCACGGCCCAAACTCGGAGAAGAGAATGGTGGGTTAGAATTACCCTAGAGAGAGGCCTGCAGGTGGGAGAGAGGCCTACTGCAGGTGGTGCTTCTGGCCAGGCCCAGAAGCAGTGTTCCTGGGGCCCAGAGAAGGCACTAAGTTGGTCTGGATGAAAAGGGTCAGGAAGCAGTATTGGTTCCCCAGGTGTCTGTGGCCCCAAGACCTCCTTAAGGGTTTTTGAACTACTCAGGATGTGGGTTGCCACACTATGTCTTGTACAGTAATATGTGGCTGAGTCATCGCTTCCCAAACTGCTCAGCTCCATGAAGGCTGTGTTGGAAGATGTGTCTGCAGTCAATGTGGCCTTGCCCTGAAACTTCTGATCATATTTTGTATCCCCATTTTCAGGATCAATCCTTCCAATCCAGTCCAGTCCCTTTCCAGGCTTCTGCTTCACCCAGTGTATGTAGGTGCTAGTAATGGTAAAGCCAGAAGCCTTGCAGGACAATTTCACTGAAGCCCCAGGCCTCTTCAACTCAGCCCCAGATTGTTCCAGCTTGATTTGGGAATGGATACCTGTGGAAGGAAAGAACAGTGGGTATCATTATCATCTTGACCTCTGGCCCCTCCTCAGGCCTGATAACAGGGATTGAGTACCTTACCTCTGGATGCTGCCACTAGGAAGAAGATGACCCAAGTCCAACCCATGGTGAAGTCCTGTACACTCAAGGAGTGTGGAGAAGAGGGTGGCAATATAGTGCTTTCAGACATAGGCATCCCTATATTTACCACCACAGACTAAGGTCATTTGCTTATTAATGAGATAGGGTACTTTTTAGATCAAGAGTTGATCCAGTTTGACAGGGAGGAGTCAGAAGATACCTGATCAGGAAACAGCATCATGCTGATGTCAAAGACTTCACCCTGTGTATGAAAATTCATCCTTTACAACATACCCGAGACTTATGCAGATAGAGTCTTCCCAATGTAAATCAAAGTTCCTACTGTTAGGCTGCTTAGAATTAACTATGCTTCATTGATCCATGGGCCACCTGAACATAATA